TTTAATGTTGAAATCCTCCTTCAAGCAGGAAATGTGGCTTATGAAAATGATGGCTCCCTCCTTCAGAATCCAAGCATGAACTCTGGCATACTTGAGAAACTTGCTGATGAAATATTCCAGTTCACTGCCTATCCTACTGGTCCTCAAATATTGGCAGTTGTAGAAGCTCTGTTAAAAAAGTTAAGAAAAATCCTGCAAAAAATTGCAAGAGACCAAAGAGGGCCGAGGTCAACTACCTTCCTCCACACCCAAGTGGAGAAAGTACGGACAGTCTTGAGATGGAGAGACAGTAGCTTCTTAAGGAAGTAAAGATCAGGAACAACGCTAAGGTGATTCAAGAGAAAATGGCCAAAACGTTTTCCTGTCAAAGGCATGAGGTTGTGGGTGGAAGTCCAGCGGTGGATGACTTCAAAGAGAGATGGCCTGCTCTGTTTTGCGAATCTGAGGTAGATGGATTTTTATACCCTTTGTAATGTTACCTGTTCCTTTAAGGCTGTAACAATAATGTATTTATGGAAATATATTGTGTAGTATTCCTGTATCAGTGCATGAACCTTAAAACAGACTTCTCTCTCAAAGTTAAAACCATAGGCCAAATGTTTGCCTTTCTCCAAGTTGATCATTTTAAGAAGTGGCTGCTTGGTGCTTTTCACCTTTACCTGCATTCAAAACACCTGTAGAATTCATTTTTCACTGTTTTGCCATTAACTAATGTCATACTTCTGAATCCTTGTCATTTCAGATCAAGGAGGAGTTTCGGAGAATTAACTACAATTTCTCTAGAGCAAAGCTTCATGTACAAACTTGACCACTATACACCAAAGCTTACTGCCCTGATGAAAGCCAAGGGAGGTGTTGTGGGGACCAGGCTGAGGCCCCATCTGGATAAACTGAGTCAGGTATGTTTGATTTAAAGGGTTCCTGTTCACATCTTTTGCAGGAAGACAGATCTACTGTGTGTCACAGTTTCACACACATTCTGCCCCTGTCCTACACAACACAAATTCTCACTCTCTGTAACATACTTCTCCTTTCCACACATGGCTCTTGCTCTTTGAAAACAAACCACTGCTCCTTGCAAAACTATTCGTATCTTCTGACATGATAGCTTATTGTGTACAAATTATTGTTTGGAACTGACACTATTACTCTTTTCACAGAACCCAAGCACTGACATGAGACGTGACGCAGTTATCCGTGGCCTCAGACTATACCTTGGTGAGAAAGAAGAGGAACTTTTCGAAGATTGCCTGGTAAACAATGTTTTTTTTCTAAATACATTTTTAGTGACATATACCTGGGTTTTGAAGTCACAGTTCAGTATGTTTTTGGTAAAGCAAGAAAAAAAGAAACAAAGACAGGTTTCATGTTTTTATGAAATAACGGTTGAGTGAATAAACTATGACTTTAACCAGAAAGGAAAAAAAACTCAGTATTGCTGCAACCCATTTTAGCTTGTCCTCAGTGGAGTGTAACTAAGCAAATACATACACATAAATAAATGTATACTTCAAATGTCTGTGTACTTGTTTTGCATATCAATCTGATATCAAATTGTACTTAGCACAGTATAATATCAAATACCTGAAGACCTTTACTTGAGAACCATATCTACGGGTGATTTTAATAACATTTTTTTCTGCACCAAAGTAGTATTTTACCACCAAATTTAAATACTTTTACTCAGGCATAATTTTTAAATACATTTTACAACACTTCTTGTAATAGTCTATAGAAGGCTGGTATTGCTACTCTTGAATTGTTGTCAACTGAATAGTTTTATTTTTTCTTGTGAATTTTATGCAGGAGGACAATCGCAGTGATGCCACTCAACACATAGTCAAGATCCTGGTTGTCCATGGTACTGATGGAGAAGAACCAGTAGATGTTTCCATCCTTCTTGAAGGGAAGGAGGTATTGACAGGATGCAGCAGCACAGCCAAAGCTTGCACGTTGCTTATGGGACTGATTTATGCCCTCAACCTTGCATACCCCTCGGCTCTGCGCTACACCTTTGAGGTGTTTCAGAAACTTTTCCTGGAACTGAATGGGATAAAGCTGTCACCAAAAGTACATGTTTTAAAGTTGAAGTTGCTGTCCAGGAGGTACACAATGCAGTCTAATGGCTAACAAGATGTTAGGTGTTTTCTTTCCTAAATGTTCCTAATTTTGTTGTCAACCAAGGCGACTGCTGTCATTCATGTTCACAAGGTAAAGAAAAAGTTAAAATTGTATTCTTTGTCTAGTAAATGTTAATACTTTTGTCCTAACTTTTGTTTTTAATCAAGGTTTTAACAGAGGATTTGATGTTGTACTCAACCTGTTTTAGGGTGCTTTAATGTTTTAACCGAATGCTAATATAAATATGTTAATGGTAATGTTGCGGTTTAGAATGTTGTTCATGTCAGTACAGCATATTTTGTCAGGTCAAACCCTCATAATCTGTTTTTGTCATCTGATGTGCCCTTAATTTTATGCTTCCAGGGGTCAAAAACATTTTGAGTTTCCAGTGATATGCATTTTTTTTTTCTGTAGAGCATAATGGTCACTCAATAAAGGTAAACATTTTTTGTTTATTGATGCCTATCAGCATTTACTGCTGCTGAGATTTTATTTAAATTTTGTCATGTGAAATGTTAGCACAATGTACAATTCTACACGGCTGTTGTAAAAATGAGGTGTTACATAAGGTACCTGACAAATGTTTATAAATAAATAATAGAATTGTATTTTGGCTCTGTGATTATTAATAGTATTTGGTAATATTTATCAAAAGACAATTTGCAACATTTACATAATTACATTAGGTAATATAACTTCAAGCAACTAAGTAATTAAAATGATCAAACAGGGAAAAAAAAGATAAAAAAGTACTTGATAATTTTATGACAGTAATTATCAAAGATAAATAAAATCTACTCAATATTTTGATGTTGAAAATATATATGTATACAAAAAATATACTGTATTTTACTTAATTTGTGTGAGTAATAAAAATTGAAACATCATTAAAACTAAGTAACACTTACCTAATATTTTCACAAATGTTACCATAAGAAATAAGTGGATTTTACTTAATACTATTAAGGAAGTTGTACTTGATATTACAGCAGTAAAATTTACTCAAAAATTTTGAGTGCAAATTGTTACGAGGATTTTTTTTAAGTAAATCTTATGAGTTGTTTTTTTCAGTGTACCAATAAACAATTGGTGGATTGTGGGATGTGTAGTTCCTCGACTCAGGAAGAAAAGTATGTACACAGTCTTGTTTTTTTTTCCCTTTTCTCCAATTTTTCAACTCTGTTTTGGCGCCGAATCCAATGTAGTATAGTCATAGAGTATTGTGGAAGCTGGTTGTCATGGTTACAGGCTTCAGCCTCTTGATATAAGGATTTTGTGAAATGTCAACAGAGGATTTGAACGAGGAAAATTTAGTTCCCCGAACCAGAGGTGCCAAAAAAGTGGGCGGTCCCTGTTGAGCTCTGTTGACTGTTAGCATGATGAGCATGTGTGATATTTGTAAACAGCAGTCGTGTAAATAGTCGAGATTTGAATGATTACCTATGAATGCCAGTTTTCAGTTACCCTCTCTGTTGGCCACTGCACCGCTCTACAGGAGATAACAAGGTTGAGTGCCTTGCTCAAAGGCAGCACAGCAAACCTCTCATGTTCTTCCAGCCAGTTATTGTGTGTGTACAGGGATTGGTTTGGTTCGACGGAGAAAGGCAGCTTCTCGATGCCTTTGAACAGTAAACACAAAGTCCAATGATGGGTTTTTATTTCTTGTTTGTTTTCTCCCGAGTTCAAGCCTCTTGTTTTGAGTGGATTTTAAAGTGGATTCAGAAAAGATTCTCCAGCTCGCTGGTGAAATAACAGCAGATCGATGCTTTTGGAAGCTTTGTATTCTCCGACATTATCCCTCAGTAAGAGACAGACAGAAAGCCACTACAACACTGTGGGTTCAAGGTGATTCAACAATCATTTATGATCTGCTGACACTTTCCAAACATGTTTTTTTTTTCAGTGAAGCTCTTCTGTTCAGCAGCAGGAGAGATATCTGACATGCCAGATATCGACTATTGAGAGTTTGGTGTGGACAGAACACGGAGCACATGGATGAGAAGACGAATTATGTGCAGCTTTATACAAGCTGAGGGTAAGTTCTCAGAGCAACCTGGTGTCTGCTCACTCTCATTGGCTGCAACGCATTGACAATGAGCGCACAACACCTTCTGCCCCTCCTCTCTAGAGTGGATGCTCACTCAGGTCACCATGTGGTGGACTCTGAAGCTTCAGTGTTTATCCAGCTCTGCATGGGTCTGTAAACCTTTCTGTGTTCTAACCTCTCTCCATTTTTCAAAAGCATCTCCAATATTGATCCTAGTTTGAGCACGTTTCTGCTCGTGGAGCTTATTAGAAACATGCAGAGGCTTTTTAGGTCGGGTACAATCACTTCTATCTGAACCACTTCTCTTGACCGCTTCCATCGCTGCAACACCTGTTGACCTGATAACTGCTCTCATATCTGGCAAACAGAGGGGCGTCCAAAACGGCCGTGTGGGGGCGTGCCTTAAAAGCGCCTACCTTCTCTGGTCCAAACAAATCCAGAGCATTCAGGAGCAGAATCTAAAGTTAGAAGGAGGACATACTGGCTGCTGCATTGTTGTCAGAGAAGCCAGCACTTCAACATAGCATGTTTCCTTAATGTCTGATCAGATAGTAAGATACCTTTATCATCTCACTAACTACACATCTCACTGATTTGACCTTTAAACTAAACTTAGAAAATGAACTCTTGGGCATGAATCAGCATGATAAGAAATATCTATCATGACAGAAATCATGTGGAGGTGGGTTTATGAGTTATACTGCAGCCTGTCAGCAGGGGGAGCTAAACATTGTGGATACACTTCTTAGACGCTCTTGTGCAGTCCAGTCTTTAAACATGATATGATGCCTACAGATGGACACACAGATTACTCAAGAGGATGTAAACTCACCAAGAAAAGCAGAAGGCGATACGGTGCCGTTGCTCCGAGAAACCATGACGCTAATGCCCGTCTCCACGAACGGAACAGAGAACTCTACGACCTCGGACCTCTCTTCGTTTATGGTGAGAGAACCGATGGCCATGTCAGCCCTGTTGGACACCACCTGAAAAACAGGATGCTTTGAGTGAGAACAGTGTTGAGTGACTCAAGCAGCTAAAAAAAGGAACAAAAGGAAATTTCCTACCAAAGGAGATAATATTTAAATAATGTGGTTGAATTAGATCTCAAGAGTTCAGGTCCCTGAATCGTTGCCTCCTCTCTCTTTTCTTTGTGCTTCCTTTTATGCAATTGTTGAAAAGCATTCTGACATTTATGAACCCTACTCTCCTCTACACAGTGTCGCCTTTAGGAGCACAGAGCGAGAGAGTCTTTGAACCAACAAATCCAAAAGCAGACTCTTCTTTGGTGGGGGTATGAAAGAAAAACTTCCCAGGCTCTGTGAGAGAATTGGATTAAAATTTGACCGCTTTTCAGCTTTTGACATGCAGCTTGAATCTTGGCTTGGAGCCTTCCTGGAGCCCCTCTTGACGGCTGCAAATGAGACTCGGGTGTGCAGAAGGTGAGGAAGTGAGAGGATTCACGGCTCCGTGGAGAATCACCTGGCACGAGACAGAGGTTGTTTGATTTAAGCTGAGGTACTGTGGAGGTTAGAGATGCTGGCGGCAGACCAAAGTCCATTAGTCTAAGTCCTGGCCTGGACCTGGTCCCAAAAAAACCTGTAGAAGACAAAAGGCTCTACGTCCCCTCTACAGACACAACTGAGGCGCAGCTCAAAACACCCCTAAAGTCACAATCCTCAGTGCGCACTCACACTAGGCCCAGTTGTCCAGTACCGTACTGAAGCACTGTTGCCCCCCCCCCCTCACTGTTCCCCTGCTGGCCTGCACTCACACTGCTCCAGGACTAACTGGGCCTGAGCACGGGTACCTCTTGTTGCCTTCAAAACGTAGCAATAAAACACATGCATGGCTTTAAGTTATCATGAAGCGTGCTCGGTTTACAAGACAGGCGAACTGAAAAAAGAGGTTGATTCAACATCCGCACTTTGGAGAACGACACAGAGAACATGACAGCTACTTTACTGACATTGTGTCTTATTTTGAGTCATATTAGTCAGATTCAGACAGAACACATTTTCAATAATAACATATTTAACAAATATAAAATTGAACAGTCAATGGGAAAAATGTAATCAATATCAGTTGTAAGGTCTTTTAAGGTTGTTACTTCGTTATCTGTATTATTTGACTTTATTTTTTAAAGCTTAGTCTTGGATTAATTTATTAAGGTAAAAAGATAAAAGGGGTAGGACTGGATACGTTATTTAACTTCATCCTACACCCTTTTCGAACATGGACTGGTTAAGGAAAAATAATCGAGCCACTACAGAAAGTATACTTTGATTGCTGTTTGCTTTGTTTGTAATGTATATTTTTATTTTATTTTTAAGACATAAAATTAAAAAAATTAATGAAATGAACACTCTGGGGTTTCTCCATAATGAAGGCTGTCCATGTTGTGTATCCGCATGCTTGTGCTCGTGCTTGTGCTTGTGCATGAACTGTACCGTGCCAAAGAACACCTCTGCATACCGTGCCAGGGCCGAGGAAGTCTACTGAGCTCAAACGAACTTGACTTTAGGGGTGATGCGTGCAGCGTACAGACTGCCTAGTTTGAGCACGCCCTTAGTCGGCGACCACTTCAAACATAAAGTAGAAGTATGGTGTAGACTTGTTCTTTGGATCATTTTTTATTTGATGTTTGAGGGTTTTCATTCAGCAATCATGGCTATTATCTCGTTTTCTGAAAAGCCAAGGTTAAAACATTTAGATAGAACCAATTAAAAATAAACAAAAAAAAGACTTCACCATCAGGTAGGCATGCATTTCTTGGTCATTTTTCAAATGTGTGTAAAGAGCTAAAAGAGACACCTGTAACACTCCTGTTCAGGAAGTGTTTCTCAGCTGAACTGATTAAATAATCGACACTAAAAATATGATTCACAGTGGAGGAGGAGAATGTTAAGGACGTCTGAAATCACGGTTTTGTCGGGGAGCGGTCGTGTAAGGTTGGAGGACAAAAGGCACAAAGCGTGGTGACGGTGTGAGAAGAAGCAGAAATGATTGTCCGAGTATGAGGCTTTCAGCGAGCGCACAAGGGCACAGAATGAGTCTGCGGAAGGCAGACATATTAGCCTTGGTGAAATTTTACTTTTTCAGGATATGAGGGGAGTTTAGTTGTTAAAGAGAAATATGATGGAAGTAAAAAGAGAAGAAGAGGTGGGCAGCCTAGAATAAAACGGAAAATGTGAAAAATGTAAAAACGGCTTAGCTTTTTTTAATATTCTTGATCTACGCATTTAACATTTATTATTGAACAGCTTGATGACTGAGCAGCAGAATTTGAGCAGAAGGAGCTGAGAGAAGGAGAGACCAACCCTGAAGCCCTTCTTAAGTCAGGACTTCAGTGATATGGCTAGAGTTTAGTTTGTATTGTACTTTTTGACAAAATGCAGTTCTTTGGATGGCCACTTGAGACTGGCCCCAAAAGCGAGCCTCAGACCACCATGTTTACAGCAGTTTATAGGCTGGTACAGAACGCGGGCTGTGTCCCAGATTAGGGGCCGCATCCTTCGCAGTGCGCATTTGAAGATGAAGTCGAAGGCTGTCCCATTTCAAAGGCTCCTTCAAATCCATCCTTCTTTCCCGAGCAAACGAAGAATCCATCCTGTGCGTCCTTCATGACTTGTCATTATCTGGCGGACTATTAATATAAAGGCTACATGACGCTAGTTGTATTAGCTCGTTGCATTGCAGCTGTTGATGTTGCTAGGCGACATGAGCAGCGCTGAAACGAAAGGGTTAGGGCGGGGTCAGTGACACAAACAGGGAGTCATTCTAAGGCGTAGTCCCTCTAAGGGTCCTTCTAAGGCTGGGTCCTTTAAGGCTTGAACTTTCTAAGACTGAGATAGACCTTCTTAGGCTGGTTCTATCTGAGGCTAAATCCCTTTTATAGGTTTCTTCTTATGCTGGGTCTTTCTTAGGGTCTTTCTAAGGCCGGGACTTTCTTAGGCTGGGTCTCTCTGAGGCTGAGTCCTTCTAAGGGTACTTCTAAGACTGAATATCTTTTAAGGATCCTTCTAAGGCTGGGTCTTTCTAAGAATGAATCTCTTTTAAGGATCCTTCTTAGGCTGGGTCTTTCTAAGACTGAATCTCTTTTAAGGATCCTTCTAAGGCTAGGTCTTTCTAAGAATGAATCTCTTTTAAGGATCCTTCTTAGGCTGGGTCTTTCTAAGAATGAATCTTTTTTAAGGATCCTTCTAAGGCTGGGTCTATCTGAGGCTGAGTCCTTCTAAGGGTCCTTCTAAGACTGAATCTCTTTTAAGGATCCTTCTAAGGTTGGGTCTATTTAAGGCTGAGTCCTTCAAATTGTCTTTCTAAAGCCGGGAACTTTCTAAGGTGGGTCTATCTGAGGCTGAATCTCTTTTAAGGATCCGTCTAAGCTGTTGTATCTGAGGGATGTGCAACGTTTAGCTGACTACTTAACGATGAAATGTCGTCACAAACTCTATTTTTCACCCAAATGACTAGTTGGTTAAATGCATTACTAATAAGTCGATATGTCAGCCCTCAATGTCAGGACGATGTAATGCAGCCTCCTGCCACTAGCTGGGGCTAGCTTCCTTCTCTTGTCTTACATTGGATGATGATCAGATGTGAACAAGTAAAATATTTCCTCATGAGTGGACATTGTTTTCATGATCCCAAAATATATTCGGAAATAACAAAGTCAGAAGCTTTTCGTTTTGCACGGGAAACGCGTCCAGACTTTTAAAAAAAACCTCTTCACTCCAAAGTTAAGTAAACTGAGACTGGTCCCCACAAAGAGAGTAGAACACACTCACACTATGATGATTTGTGTCCTCCGTCTAAATCCATGTTAAACAAACGCCATTAATCCAGCCACCAGAGGAGGGTTGGAATGGTGGAAACAGCAGAATATCTGCCAACAGATACTCATTCCAAGTGTTGTACAATTTCAAAGTGTGTTCTCTCTCTCTCTCTGTCTCTCTCTCTCTCTCTCTCTCTCACTCTCTCTCTCTCTCTCTCTCTCTCTCTCTCTGTCTCTTTCTCTGAGTTTCTCCAGCACTAATCCTTTTGACAGCCTCCCTCCATATTTCCTCTCTCCTTCTTCGATTTGGGTCCAATCCTGTCTCTGGGTCGCTTTAAAGGATTGGAGGCAGGATAAAAAGAATTTTACGGGGGCTCTGATATCAAACCCGCTTTTTGTAAACACAACAAAGGCAAGGGGAGTAAAAAAAAACTGATGAGAAAGAAAGGCGATGTTACTGTACGGGATCATAGCTACAATATCTCACTGAGACACAAAATAGGGTCACGGTGTGTTTGTATTCTGGGTTGCTAAACTGTAGAATAAACTCCCAGAGGAGAGGAAGTCTGCAAGCTGTGTCTCCTTTTAAATCCCAACTGAACACACATTTTATGAATTTACATTTAATCCCTTGCTCACGACGCTGTCATGCTGATTTTTATTTGTTTGCAGCGCTTTCTGTTTTGCGTGTTAATGTTTCACGATTCGATGTATGTTTGGCTTTTTTCAGAACCTTTTAAGGAACGATTTCTTTTAATGTTCTCCACAGGTAACCACAACCACATGGCATGGTGAAATGGGCACACCTCCTTTTAAACAATCTTCAATAAATGCACAACAATATGAACGCTGATCTTCTGTTTTTAAATGTGGGAGGGGGGCAATGACAAAGCGTTAATGCACTCCCAGTGACATATCTACTGTTAGGTGTTATATTTACCTGCTCCACTTTTCAGAAAATGTGTGCTCTAAACAGGCTGTTTGGAGATTTTCCCTTCATGACATCACAAAGGGCAGTAGCCCCTCCCACAGGTGGGTGACACTCCCACAGCTAGGTGTTTGTTCTGCCCTCTGAGTCTGCCTTCTCACCGTAAACAATAGCACATGGAGCGAGAAAGACCGAGACCACCCAAGCCCTTCCAGAGAGGGGGCGTGCTCATACACAGCTCATTTACATATTTAAAGGTACAGACACAGAAACAGCCTGTTCTGAGCAGGGCTGAAATAGAGGGGTTTATAGACATGATCAAATACAGGATCAGAGTGGATTTAGAATAAGAAACTTCACACACATGTTTTGAGGAGCTCTGAGACTTATTTAAACTGAAGAAGAGGAGGAGGATATGTCACCTTTAGCACTAACCTGTTGCTGGTGATACAACGAGATGGATGTTGAGCTTATCATAACAGAATGTGCAGATATAGAATTACTTAAGGGCCAATTAAACATGCTCATTATGCATTTATTTTCTGACATCTGAGTCTTTATTAATGTCTTCAATTCTGACTGAACCTGTAACAAATCAACAATTTAGTTTATCGAGACACATAATAGTTTTTTCAAGTACTCGCATATTAAAACGGAGATCCTCACCTCTCCGACCATGCCGTTCCACTCCCCATCGATGTTCTTCCCGTGCCTCCCGTTGGTCACAAGATAAAGGTCGTAGGTGAAACCCACAATTTTGGCCAGTCTCTTGAGGACATCGATGCAGAAACCTTTGCAGCAATGCTTCATGGGCCCGGTGCCCTCCACCACCAGACTGAGGAGCAGATGTGAGAAAAGACAAAGCGGTGAGACAGTGAATGGGCTTTTTTATGAGGTTTTAAGATGTTTTATGAAGGAGGCTTTGACCTGGATGGGCTGCTCGGTTGAAATTGAAAAAGAAATAGCAGCCGAGGGAGTGAGAAAAGAACAGATGAGTACCTGAGAGACACGGGGAGAAGAGAGTAAGACTGATGTATGATTTATTGGCGAGGGATCGAGAGGAGATCGATAGTGAGAGTTGTTTGGAGAGAAAATGCGTGTCAGGTGAGACAGCAGGCGTGAAGAGTGCTGCATTAACAAACAGGATTCAACTCGACGTGTTTCTCTTGGATTCTGTCCACAATTAGAATGAAACTGAAAAGCCCTTTTCTGTTAGAGGTTTCATGTAGAGAGCTCTTCAACCTAAGGGCCTCAAGAGGAGCTCAACACATATGAGAATGAAAGCACAATTAGATCCCTGTCCGTCAAGAGGCTGCAGTGACGCTCAGCCGTCCATACCAAGTGTCCTTTGGACAGTCCCAAGGACACTTAGCTATGCATCCTCTCACCTCTGTTACCTAGCAACAGAACTTAACATTAGGGCAATTGTTTTTTAACAACATAGAATAAAACAGAAGGGGGGACTGAATATGCAGAGCCTCAGTGGAGCAAAGGGGTCTGAAAAAAAAAATATATATTTGTTTGTCTCTTATTGAGAATTGTCATAAAAAGTAAAAATGGCCGGTTGTCTGTGCACTGAGAAAAATGATGGCGAACCAGAGTACTGACTGTGTAGATGGCGCTGAAGGTGCAAACGCTGCAGATAGTACAGACAATGCAGATGGTGCACACAGTGCTGATGATGTTGACATTGCAGACATGCAGATGGTGCAGATGTACAAACAATGTATACAGTGTGGACAGTGCTGACTGTGTTGTTATCGCTGAAGTGCAGACCATGCCAAACGATGCAGTTGGTGCAGATTGTGCAAATGATGCAGATGGTGCAAGTGATTCAGATGTTGCAGACGGTTTGTGTCAGTCCACTGGTCATCATTAACCTGAGCTGATGTGATGTTATCATTGATTGTTGATGTTACTATGAGGATAGTTAAGATCTCAGAATGAACATAACAGTAGCCTCCTCCAGTGTCAACATGTCTGTAGGTTACATCCTACACTACAGGTAGCTGCATACAGCTCTCTGGGCTGCCCTCTAGAGGTATCCTCCAGTAACACGGGGAGTGCACAGCCAATTTTTGTGAATAATTACGTTCATGACGCAGCCGTTTGTTTACGACTTCAAAATATAGTATATCTCCATTCTTGGTTGGTTAAAGTTGTGCTTACCTGTGTTATGTGCTCCACACCAGATTTGTGACATCATAAACAAGCCCTGCTGATAGTCATGTATTCATGTCGAGCTTTGAAGATAGAAAATGTGACCTTGGTGGTGATGATGCATTAACATCACAGGAACGGAGCTTTGTCAGGTGAAACAAGAAAGTCAGTCGTCTAAAGTGGGGGGGAATGATTTATGTAAGAATTATAGAGGAAGAGAAAAACATGCAGGTGGAGAAACCTGTGTTTCCAATTTTAAAGAAACCTGCTTCAAAGTAGGTTGATTAAAAAGAGAGAGAGAGAGCAAACTTCTCTCTCAGCCAGTCGTGTTTCGAAAGGATAAACCTGTTATCTTTCCATTGGCCAGGTCATGTGCTGGCAGGAAGGAAGCTTATCAGGGATAGACCAGGAGCCCAGAGTTCTCTCTCTCTCTCTCACACACACACACACACACACACACACACACACACACACACACACACACACACACACACACACACACACTCTTTAGTTTGCCTGAAATGAACTTTTTACCAACATGTAACGGGGGAATATATCTGAATCTAAATGTGGATTAAACAACATATAAGAAAATATAATTTCTTCTCAGTTCTGTGTGGACACGATATAACGAGATAACGTCCTGAGGCAAATATGGCGTGGAAACGACGACGTGGAAGTAGCAGATGAAGCAGCAGAGTCCTCTATACGACTCTATAATGAGAATATATGTATATATGTGTATCTTTGTATCAATGCTAGGTGTAGAGAATCTCAATGTGAAGTAAAGAGAGGAGAAGAACATCCTGGAGAACAGGAACATGCAGCAGCAGGTTGATTAGAGCACGGAGATGGTAGAGGTGGCGTGCAGACAGTCTATGGTCGTGCAGCGATCACAGGGAATAAAGGTCACCACCCCCTCCCACTGGCCCCTCCCACTGGCTCCTCCCACTGGCCCCTCCCACTGGCTCCAGGTGAATTCTCCTGATTATATCCTGCTGCGTTCGCACATCAGCTCACTCTGGCAGGAGTGTCAGGAGAAACCTTGGATGAAGGCCGACATCTGGCTGTTTGGGACGCCCCGTGGTCTAGTGGTGTCCTTGTGTCCTTTCTCTCCAATAAAGGCATAAAAAAAAGCCCAAAAAATAAATCTATGTGTTTACGTTCACACATGCAGCTCACCCCAAAAACTTCAGGCGTGTTGTGTGAATCTGAGACGTGGGCGATTGACGTCCTTTATTTGTCTTTGCAACATAAACATGCTCGCTGGGATGCGTCAACATGCAAAATAAAATTAGGCCCGGTATGAACATATGTGCACCGCACGAGGAGATTTCCTTGTCTCTAAACTGTAACTGTCCACAAATAAATGCCTCGCTGTACTTTGGGGTTGTCCAGGGCCCCTCAAGAGGGTCAGACTCTTTCTACTTCCTGTATGCATCCTTAATCAAAATGGAGTTTTATCACACTATAAGATATTTTGTAATAATATGATTCATTTCTTCATAACGAGGAACTCATCATGTTATCACACCAATCTTTATTCTTATATTCATGTTTGGCATTATTACACTTCTGTGTAATCTTAAAGTATGAATAATTAACAATAGACTTTAGTGAGAGGAAGGAACTCTGTAATTAAAAACAGATTGATTTTTTCAAGATTAAAAGATGATTAACTCTCCATTGTCCTGTGGCGTCAAGGCTCCATAATGAGCGGCTGAATTGAAATCATGCCGCATGCTTCAACATGGTGCCATCTGACTTTAAACATATCGGTAGCTGCTGTGAGGAAAGTTAATTTCCTCTGTGGCATAATTAGGTTACTTTGTGATGTTTTAATCCATTGATCCCAGGAGGAAAGGCTTTTCTTTAAGCTCAGCCTTCCCTGTACACAGCACCTGCAGATGGTAAAGATTTACTGTCTTGTTCACGGCTGCTTGGCCAGACGTTTTAATTTCACAAAGGATCAAATCCTGAAACTCCTCTGCTTTCGGGTACTCTCTATCTGGAAACTTCTTTTCTACCTTCCACTAAGGTTTTATAGGCTGATAAGGATTTTAGGGAAGAAACCACGAGCAGACATCAAGGTAAGAAATAAATTATGTACCGAACAGACTCTTGTTGTGTGTAAAGCTCGCACTCCTTCCTCAGGTTGAAAAATGATATCTTTATTATTCTGCTCCTCTCTGCTTATGACCGTAATAAAATCGGGTCATCTCGACCTCAAACTTTCCCCGGTGAGTTTCAGACAGTTGTTTTAACACCACTTACACTCAATTTAACTGCAGTTTTGTTTGCCTCTCCATTCTGTTGTTGTAATGCAGAATACAGGGGCTGCTGTGGCTCAGTGGTAGAGTGACTACAAGAGGACGCTAGAGGAATCCCTGGATCATCACATTTCATCTTGCATGGACCAGATGGCTGTATTGAGATGTTTTGAGTCAGATTGTGTTGGTAAAGAAAACACAGCATGGCACTTTGTTTGTTGTGTTTGCTTCAAACATGATGTCTGTGGGTTACCTGGAGTTGACGGGCATTCGGCAGGGTACGGAATCCCGGATGCAGGAGCTGGTGCCCGGATCAGCCGGCTCCACGATGACAAACGGCCTCTCCTCCAAAGTCACCACTCGTAGGTGCTGGGCGTCATCCAGAGGCTTCAGGAAGGAGCCGTATCGAGACCAGGGATGGTACCGCAGGCGCAGGTGGCCATTTTCCCACCAGCCAACCTGGATGGGTAAAAAACATGAGAACACAAAAGCTTAACGTCTGTAAAGTGTGACAGCTTGAATACGATGAGTTAGATCATTTAATCCACTTGGCATGTTAACCATAGTACCTTATACTCCCCGCTGTGCTCGCCCCCCTCTTTTATCAGACATCCCGAGAGGATACAGACTGGTAAACGCTCCTAAACTTTCTCTGAGCTGGTGCTAAGGTGTTATTGAACTACTTCAGGCACTGCTACACTTAAAGTACCAGCACCTTCTTCCACCACGTGGTGTCAGGCCAAACGCCTATGACGTTTCACCAACCTCTTTAAAGGCTTTATATGTGTTTCTTCACACTTAAATATAATATAAATCAAGTATCTCCTCTGAAAATAACTCTGTGAGTCATGACTGTCTACAATGGGTGTAACACCCGAGTCCCACTGTCTGTGATGTTTTCAGAGTTTTCAGAGTCCTATCTTCACTTTGTTTACATCGCCGGGACGGCCGGCTGACTCCTCCCCTCGTGTATAAAAGTTGTTTAATTGAGGGACTAGAGAAAAGAAGAATAACATACTGTACTCACTGCTTAACTGTGTTTCTAGATCACGCTCATTTCAGGTAAATTTACATGCAGTGTGAAGATACCAGCATAATAAAAATCGCCAGCATTAGCATGCTAACACAACAATGCAGTGCGAGTTGTTTTGGTTTCATGCTGGTGCTCAAGGGCGACATCTGCTGGATCAAAAAATCACATTTAAAGCCTTTAAGATCTTCAATCAAGTCCAGTTGAGTTTGGATCATGTTACAAAATAACCTTGATGACTGAGAACCTTCACAGACATCTGGCCTTAGATCTGCATGTTTTTATGACCAGTGAGCAGAGGAGAATCGTCAGCTTGTGAGGGAGATGCAACACAAACCATGCTGTGAGAATTTGCACTGGTTGTTTCACTGAGCGCCTTTGAGTCAGTTTAAAAAGAAATGCTGCAACATGATGTTTTTATGTAGAGAACGAGACAAGAGTCGAGACAGCTTAAGTGTCACAGTGACCTATTTGCGCAAACAAATCTGTTCACATCAACCGAGGATGTTGGAAGACCGCTGTGCAGCTGTAAACAGTAAATCTGTCAGTGTCTTGTAATTTTCCTGCTCTGGTGCATATATTTAGATGCCATTTGCATTCAGCCAATTCCTCTGTGTTCGTACCTGATTCTGCCAGACGTGGCTGCTGGGATTTATGAAAAACCTGCAAAGCCTCTTTATAAACACACATACATACCTAGAGTAGCTTGTTGGGGCATTGTTGATAGACTAATACAAATATCCTACTGGTACTGATGCTATTAATGAAATATATGGGGAATCAGGGAACCAATAATATGAATTGCTACTGCTTTATTTAAAAAGATTATTTTGTGCAACTGTAAATGTAAAGATGTAAAATGGAAGATAGTAGGTAAACTTGTAAATCTGAGTTTCTCAACTTCCAAACAAATCTGGTTTCAGACTGGCTGCGGGTCGGCTCCTTCTACATTTCAGTGTGCATGTTAACAAGTCAGGGCGACATGCCTTCTGTTAGAACCTCGCTCTCTCTCTCTCACTCTCCAGTTATCAGGTCAACAGGTGTTGCAGCGATGGAAGTGGGCAAGAGAAGTGGTTCAGATAGAAGTGATTGTACCCGACCTAAAAAGCCTCTGCATGTTTCTAATAAGCTCCACGAGCAGAAACGTGCTCAAACTAGGATCAATATTGGAGATGCTTTTGAAAAATGGAGAGAGGTTAGAACACAGAAAGGTTTACAGACCCATGCAGAGCTGGATAAACACTGAAGCTTCAGAGTCCACCACATGGTGACCTGAGTGAACATCCACTCTAGGGGGGGGGGGGAGACAGCTCTCTATGATGTTTAGAATTTAGACTGCAGTACCCATTTTAAACACTGGGTGTCAGAGTTACATATTGCTCCTCTAATAATGTGCTTCTCTCTTTCTCTCTCCGTCGCCTCCTCTTGTCCCCTTCGTCTTTAGCGCTGTAGCCTTTATCAATCAATCAATCATTATTTGTATAGCACTAATTCATAACAAGTGTTATCTCAAGACGCTTTACAAAACAGCATATGAGATAATACGCAGGAAGGATTTCTCCTTTGTATTCCTCACGTTCCTGTTGTCCACACTTCCTTGCCGCTGAGGTGGAGGTCGGAGCAGGTCGTGCATGAATGAGGACGGCGGTGGTTGTGGGGACGATACAGTCTGATCAGGCACAGCCCGATGGTGGAGGCTAGACGTTGGGCACTGGTTGAGGGATGACACAGTCCGATCGGGCACAGTCTGTGATGGTGGCTGGGTGACGGGTGATGGATGACATGATCCGATGGTAGTGGCTGGGCATGGGGGATGTTGGGTGATTTATGTCCCTTTTCAATCCGAATTAGTCCCCGAAACTTGTGTAAAGACACTAGAAACCATCCATGAATGTTGGAAACATCAGCTAAGTTGAAGAGTGATCAATATGTTTACCTCATTTACATTTATTGACTGATTGAAACTTTAGTACGCACCTCTTCCCCTTCTTATTAAATAATAAGTCCTGATAACATTATTAAGCTTCATTCAAGTAAAAATCAGCTATTAGTCCCCAGATTGTTTGTAGGTCCCCATAATGTCCCATTCAAGCTAATGTCCCCTTAATGTTATAAAAACAAGTACTGGGAAGGTCCCCATAACATCCCTTGGAAACTAGTGTCCCTGTCAATTCAGCAAAACAAGAACTTCAACACACACAAAAACACTCTATTAAGCATAATACTTTCAAGGAAAATGCATTCACACTGAAACACATCACAACAGATGACAAGAACACACAAAACTAAATGGGGAAAAAAATATACTGCTATTCATTAGTGTTCCTTTTTGGTCACCTGAATAAAACAATACAAGGACAAAATGTACCAAACATTCATATTGTAGTAAAGAGAAAATTGGCAGCAGCTGGCTCCTTGCACAGCTTCAGTCCCTATCTTTTTTGTTCACTCTTTGTCTATTTTTTCCCGTGTGTTTCTGCTCCTCTCCTTCAGTCTCTTTGCTGCATAAATAATGGCCACAACCAACAGTTCATTATAAAATGAAATGATAATTTGCTCTTCAGTGCTCGTTTGTCCTCCAGTTCACCCCTCTAACATGTTTTGCATTATCTGAAGTAAATGCTTCCAGCTGCTCTTTAAGAACAAAAAGACATTTCATATGCATGGACAGAAACACACACACTCCAGCACAGCTCAGACGAGGGCTGAATCTCTGCGTGACAGCCCAGCAGAAGGCAGGAAAAGGCGAGATTTGGTATTTGGTGGTTCTTGGTTGCCATGGAACTCAGACAGACCCTGAGGTTCTGCCAAAATGTTCTGAGACTCTACAGTCTGGCGCAGACTTCACCATAATTGAGCTGATTGGAGGTCGGATTCCACCTTTCCGACCCCTCTATTCTCGACTTCCAAAATAACGTTGGTTTCAGACTGGATGCTTCGTTTACATTTCAGCAAGCATGTTAACATGTCTGGGTGATATATCTTCTCTCTTGCTCTCCCTGTCTCTCCCTTAGCTTGGAGTTTTGTAAAGTAATTGCCATTTGATAATGAAAATAAGATTGTTTTCGGATAAGCCTGACCTCTTAAACTTGTTGAAAAGACACCTAAACCACCCCTGGATGTGGGCAAAAAAAGCACCCATAAATCACTGTAGGTAATTCATTTTAATAATGTGCTTCGGATTTGAGGTCTGACTCCACCTTCTCAACAATTACAGGGTTGTTCCCAACTCCAGGCTGCTTGGAATCGATTATCTGCACCGATAATGTAAATACATCACGTCTGATCCACTTACCAACCCCCATCCCCCACCCTGTCAATTATTCAAAATTAATTCTCTTAGTAACTAGTGGATATCTGCTTTCACTTGATTTGTTTAACTCGGAGAGGTCTGTTTGTATTTCTGTACATTTTTCCGTCTGATCAGTCTCCGAGGCTGAGAGCACTCGTTGTGAAGCAGCTCCTCTGCTGTTCATTACAAAGAAATCTCTGCTGCTGCTGCTGCTACTACACCGATAAAACTCATCACTATCTGAGCACTGGAGGATCTTTTCATGCGGATACCAAACACTTGAAAAAAGCAATTGTAAAAAAAAAGAAACAAAAAAAACCTATTAAATTCAAGACATAAGCGGAATCAATAATAATGGTTTTATTCTAAAAGGCTGCAAGAAAATTGGAAAGAAAATTGTGCTAAAATTATGAAACTAATTTTCGAGTTTGTTTTAACATAAACTGTTGTTGAAAAATAAAGCATTTTCCTCTGTATGAATCTTTATTCTACTTAGACTGAAAATTACCTAGCTCGCCATCCACAGAGGAGTCAGACTATTACAACACAACTGTTCTAGCTCCACGAGCAGAAACGTGCTCAAACTAGGATCAATATTGGAGATGCTTTTTGAAAAATGGAGAGAGGTTAGAACACAGAAAGGTTTACAGACCCATGCAGAGCTGGATAAACACTGAAGCTTCAGAGTCCACCACATGGTGTCAGAGTTACATATTGCTCCTTAAAGAGTGTATTTACATTAAATAGTTAAGTATAGATTTTCTTGATATATGAAAAATATTTATGCAGAGCTACTATACGTGTTGAGTTTGTGTTTGTTGGTTTGTTGTACTTCGAGAATAAATATCACAGATGTGTTTTTATGTAATCTAACTAATGAAATCTTGTCAATGTAGATATGGAGATCCCAGGAAGAGTAGCTACTGTTTAACACAGACGCTCATTGGGATGTTAATAAACAAACAAACAAACAAACCGACAGGATGGTAAATGGTTCCATCCACATCAACACAGAGGTTTCAGATTCCTTGGCGCAGCCGTCATAAAAGTCCTCTCCTGGGCTGACGACACCTCGACATTAATGGGTGAAGCACAACAAAAGCCTTTCTTTCCAGAGGAGGCTAAGGAGAGCCAATTTTCTCCAAAAAAGCTTCTTGTCGACTCTTAACAGATACACTGCAGGGAGCATCCTAACAAACTGCGTGACAGCCTTGCACCACCGACGCTGACAAAAAAGCCCCCATAGTGTTGGGAAAAACAGCACACACAACTGTTGGCTTGGGTAATCCTGTTGGGGTGGGGGGGGGCTGTTGGCAAGGTAGTACAAATTTTGAGCCTGCTACTTGTGAAGTCCCTGCTGAGTTATTGCAATAGAGTGATGACTCTATCAAACTTTTTCCTACACATATACTGTGATTATGGGGCTGTGAAACTAATATAGCAGCTGTGAAGTGGATTTAAATATTATTCAGTTTTATGTGGTTCCAGAGTTCCAGAGTTTCCTGTCATGTTGATTAAAAAGGCACTGCAGCTTTCATGTCCTGTTCGCTCATTGGTCCTCTGTATAATTGCTGTTAGAAACCTGCTGCTCAATGAGCAAACACATGTATCATGACTTCTTGCTGCACTATTACATCACATCAAATCTGACTTTATAAAATCAAAGGATGTTGCACGCCTTCTAAAGGTATGAAAGAAGGCTGAGTTGGAAATAAAACTAAAACAAACCTTTTCCTGTCCACAAAGATCGGTACTGAAGACTCCACAGAATTCAATTTGCAGAAAAAAAGATAACACAACAAGAAATCATTTCAGAAGCTACTTGTTGAAATGTTAAAAACATTTTAAAATCCATCCATTCATTATCTATACCGCTTTTCCCGTTTGGGGTCACGGGGGCTGGAGCCGATCTGAGCATTGGGCAAGAGGTAGGGTTAGAGACAATCTTAGGTGTGAATGTGGCATTTTATAATCATTGTTTTTAAACTGTTTAACACATTATTTCTTATCAAGGAATAATTATTATTTGCTCAAGTTTAGCTGTTGGCTTTGTGCTTCTCTGAACTGCATGCATAAGCTTGTCTTTATTCATGAAATATATTATTTCCTCAAAGTTGCAATCAAATGAGTATTCCAACTTTTGGTGAATACAGTCTCAAGCTCTACCGACGAGGTTTGCTCAGCTGCCCTGAGGTCGATGTTCTCTGCAATGGGAAAGATCAGGAGAGGTTAATTCAACAAATATGCGCCCGGGAAACGGAGATGTTCAGATAAATGAGGTTAGTGAGAACCAGTGGGCAGTTAGGGTCAAGTGCAGAACTCTGAGGGAGGTAAATGGACACAGTCTGTCCTTTGCTTGGCCATTATACCTCAGATCAAAATCATCATTATACAACGAGTACTTCAGGGGAGCCTAGATTATGGCCTTTGTCCATTAGATCTAAAAGTCCTCTCCTGGAAAATCCAAATGACTCAATGAACTCAAATTTAGTCTGTGGGCTTCCAACTGTAGTGCCATAAGCTGTGTCTGCATTGGCACTGAAAGAGATAAGTTTAATATTAATGAAGGAACTTTTATGTGCTAGTCAGGCTTGATGCTTTTTGTTTTGTGCCCAGTATTACCTTTACGACACACGCAGCTTGTAATGTTTGTGCTTTTCAAACAGAACGAGCTGGAGCCTCGCAGGGCAGAACGATCCATTTGTGGAGCCTGATACTAATGTGGAGGATCCACCAAACACAGAGGTGTGTGGTGGAAACCCATTGGCAGGTCTGCAATGCTGTTTTTAAAGATTTATTTTTTGGGGCTTTTTATGCCTTTAATGGATAGATAGGACAGTGGACAGAGTTGGAAATCAGGGAGAGAGAGAGGGGAATGACATGCGGGAAAGGAGACACAGGTGGGATGTGAACCCGGGCCGCCCGCTTGAGGCTGCAGCCTCTGTACATGGGGTGTGCGCACTAACCATTGCGCCACCAGTGCCCCAGGTCTGCAATGTTGTTTAACAGCTTCACAGTTTATCATATTTTATCATGTTTTTCTATTTTTGTCTCAACATTTTTGACTATTTCAAAAATCAGGGCTAGGCGTTGCTGTGCCAGCCGGAAGTGGTTCTCTTGTGTTGAACCAGGAACAAACCACAGACTATTTACAAAGTTACTACATTTTATAAAGCAAACCAAAGACCTAACTTTTTTGCAGAGCTTTTAACTGAATCTTATCTCATCTAGTTTTATTACATTTTGAAACTCCTGTGTTTCCTCAGTTCCTGTTCTTATCTAGTTATTTTTACCTTAGTTTTTGGATTGTGGGATAGGGGTGGGGGAGGGAGTCATGTTGTTGCTGTTTGGTTTAATATTGATGTAAAGCACTTTGGGATACATTTGTTGTATGAGAAGTGCTATACAAATAAAGTTTCATTGATTGATTGATAGTACTTCTCTTTAAGAGTATGTAATAGTGATAGTAAAAAAAAACCTGCATAGCCGAACAGCTGATAGGTGAAGAAAATGTATGAAGTGAGCGAAGTAGTGCTCAAACAATGCGGCTTGTTGATGGTAAAGTCAAGTGAATATTTCTTAAATATAGACATTAATTATTTGGTTGTCTTTTAGTCAAATTAGCTTAATTACAGGGTAGAACTGACCCTGTCTGTGTAGCCTATAGTTTCTGTGCCGTTACTTCAACTTGTTTCTGTACCGAGGGTCCGAGCTGACCGGCATCTCACTTCCAGGTACCTCATACAACCCCACTTCAAAAATGACCAAACCATCCTCTATAGCGATAAGAGTCTGCATAGTCATTGGATCCACTGTTACTATTTTAATAACTGTTAAAGTAAGCTCTTGGTTTTCTCCAATCAAAGTATTTTAAGGGTTCCTGTTTGAAACATGACTCGGCTAACCTGATGATTTGTTCCATGACTCAGCTGAACCTTTGTTGTAAAAGAGCAGAAATGAAATCATCTCTTGGGAGCAGCAGTGCAAATTAAACCCGTTTCTGCTCGGTCTCGAGCCGCTGAAGCCAATTTCTCTTCCTTTATCTTTTCCAAACCCATTGAGTAGTAGACAGTAACCCATCACCTCAGTCAGAATCTAAGACTTCATTCGGTAAAAAGTCAATACAGTAATGATGAGCAGTATCAGGAAAGGCCAGGAAATGTCCCTGTGGTTTCTCGGAGATGAAGCTGTACTCCAGTTTGCTGCCTCTTGCACCAGTCACGACTGTAACTCTCAGCTCCTTGGGAAGGTTCAACTTATCAAGAAGAGAAGCAGGCTGGATGTGTTGAACTCTGAAGCCAATCGCAGACGCAGTGAGGAGCAGAAGACTTAAAATACATGAATAAAAAAGCTGACACTCTCCCAAAATAAATGGCCCTTGTTGAGCCATCAAACGCTTAGAGGCAGTAGTTTTAGCTTTCATGAGTGCTGCCTCTTTGTCAGGTTTTTAAAGTGTCTTCAGTAACTTTAACATTTCCCTGATCTGAGTCTTGCTCTGAGGCTTCTTATCTTTTGCAAAACAAGACTGGGGTCATGTTCGGATCATACCACGCATGATGTAGAAAATTCTGCAAACCTCCCTCCAACAGTCTGAGGTTTTTCATGCAAATTAGCAACAGCTAGTCTGAGCTTCATACAGAGTTCAGAGGGAGACATATTCAGCTCCATTGACAAGATAATGTATTTTATCATACATGATGACAAGTGAAAGGGGGATTTAGTAGCCAGCTCAGATCAAAGATTCACTATGTGACACTGAGAGGGATTCAAAGTGGCTACAAAAGAATGGTTCAATTAGATTCCGCTAATGACCAATTTGACATCAAAAAGTCGAGCAGAAGCGGTTAAATGAAAACATGAAAAGTGTTCCCCCAGAAGTCTACCATTGAAGTCAATTCTGGCGCTTCCACATGGAACATTTCAGCTTTTTAGGTTTTAATCATAGACCCTACATGGGGATTGACATAGCTAAATTTCGAGTTTTGGGATGTTCTTTCAGGGCTGACCAGATGGTGACCTTCCAAGGGGAAAAATTATGCCAAAGCAGAAGTACAAAAAAATCTTCCATTCCACTTGTGTCCACTTGAGGCTGGCTGTAGAAGCTCCAGACGTCCCATAAACATATGGGCCTCCTGACAGTGTTAAGCATGTCTCGCAGTCTCAGTGACTTCCCCCAGTTGGTATCTGATGGCTACAATGGTGGTCTCCATATTAGAAGTGCTGTCTCAAAATCTGTGACTTATTCTTTTCTCATAGGTCGATTTTAAGTTATCATCCTTTAAATGAGGGGGGCCTTGAGTGTGCACCCACCTAGTACACATATTGAGTCATGAAAGGTCAGGAACAAATGCAACACAGCAGGAAAGAACAACAAGATTACTTGTTTCTTTGGAGGGAGTCCTGAGGAATTGAAAGTGCCCTCAGAGAGCAGACCTCAGATTTTGTACTATTACTGTACATCTGCTTCACATGGCCCCACGCGGAGAAGAAGATACGGGCATGTGCGTTAGCGCTGGCTAACAAGGCTGGCTAACCCAGATGAAGGAGGAGAGGAGGAGGGGGCTTTGGTGGAGAACTCATTAGATGTGGGGGAGAGAGGGAGGCAGAGACAGTGAGACGGCAGAAAGGTGAAGCCGAGCACCGATGAGTTAGCATGTTTGATGGGCTGTGAAATTGTGGTTAGGCCGTCTAGCAGCCGAGCTGTGATAATTAGTGGTGACTTGCACAGCTGTGCACTGACCTCCTCCCAGCCCCTCCCGTTGGTGTAGGAGATGACATCGAGCAGCGGTTTGGACAGGTAGCCGTCACTGTTGAAGGAATAGTCACGCCCGCCGATGGATATGTTGGTGAAGTACCTGCAAGAGGACACAGAAAAACAGAGAGGTAAAATTAAAATCAAAAAAGAAAAAGGGGGGGATAGGTGTTCTGGGCACTTTGGAAAGAATTATCTAATTTTTATAAAAAAGTGTTTGTAGACTCAGCATATGACCAACCAAGCATCACATTCATGTGTATGGTTGCACATTTTTACTCATTGGGGTGATCCCATACCGGCGATTACTCGACGATTCATTGGTCAGAGCCTCAGCTGACTGTCAGTCTCAAAGTCGAGCACAAAGATCATTCCATTGCAGCTCTGTGGGGGTGTGTAATGTCTAGTTTTACACAGATGTGTTCATTTGTGACTCATATCCTCTCTTGGTGTAAATATCACCTTATTAATCATTTTAATGGAGTTCTGAAAACCAGTCGTACTTTGAATCAATCTGTTCAGTGTGAGCATGAAGAAATCCCCCTGCAGTATTGATAGAAGCAACTGATCTGTGATTGTTTGTGTGCATTGGCTTCAAGACATTTCAGTCAGCAGCACAGTCGTGTGCAATTACCCGTCAGAACAGGGGGAGTTTCCTCCTTTCAACAAAGGCTCTCATTGGCTGTTATAAGACATTATGAGGTGTCATCAGAAGGTCAGCAGATTAGCAGAATTTTCTGAACAGTTAGGTGGATATTTATGGATGTAATGTCTGGATTTAAATTGTGGGGACTCAGTTTGGTGGATTATTATGAGGAGGAGAGTTCAGTAAATCTTCAAATGGTTAAAAGACGCTGTTTGCTGTCGCTGGTCTGACAGATGTGTAGATTGTGGTTGCCTTGGTGGTCTGACCCGCACTCACTGAGCCGTCAGAGTGTGTGTGCCTGCTGTATTGTAATCCTTAGTCCGGGACAGGCCTAGGTCTTTATCTTTTTAGAGAGGTTCCCCCTTGGAGGCGGTGGTTTTGTCCATTAGTGCTGTGTTGCTAAACGTTAAATAAGTAAAAATTGGATTTGTTGTAGAAGATCAGCTTGTTAGTTGTTGTCTGATCCTCAGGTGAACAATATATCGAGCAACTTTTGAGAATAAATTAAAAACTAAGTGAAAAAAGAGAAATCATTTGATAAAGAAAAACACAATCCTGTCGATGTGAGAGGAAATCACAACGTGGAGGCGTGGAGAAAGAGATGTGGGAGAAGCCAAGAGCCGAGAAAAGGTGATGCACCGAGGAAGAGATGAGACAGAGCAGACTTCACTAAAAGGTTTCCCTGTCTTCAGCTGCACTCTCGTGTCACACAACAGCGAGGGGAAGAAAAAATATAAGAAAATCTGAAGAAGGTAAACATTGGAAGACAAATACTTGGGAGTACTTTTAATACCAGGAAAGACAAAAGCAAAGAGAGTTAGAGTGAAGCAGAGATGGAGGCAGAGAGCTTTACCTTTGATGTTTGTTAATGAAATCTCGACCTTAAAAGCGTCCAGGAAAAAGCACATCAAAGCTTCCAAATGAAACCTTCCCCACATCCTCTCAAATACACGAGCAGACAACCCGGCTGAGAGAAAACCTCAACAACGTCCCAAATAACAACCAATCAACAGAAATACGACTTCAAATATATGAAAGGCAAAGAAAAAGGCCAAAAAGAGTTGTGGGTTCAAAAAAGTACTGAAGGTAAAGTCGGATTGCAGGGTAGCTCACGATACGGTACGACGTGATGAGATACGATAAAACCACAGACTGTTGGTTTTTTGAACCAGACTGTAAACATGTTCATCTCTGCTGTAAAAACAGGCTTTTTAGAATGGGTGTGTATGTGACTTCCTGTGCTTCTGCAGCCAGCCTCTAGTGGACACTTGAGGTACTGCAGTTTTTTTGCACATCTACATTGGCTTCATTTAACGACACCAGAGGTTGCTGCTCGGTTCCTATTGGCTTTGAATATCACACTCACAGGTGATAGGGAGTGTGCACAACACAGAACATTATAGTGTATATAATATAATGACTTGAGTCTGTAATCCTCAGCAGACCACTTTAGGATTACTGTGGACAAAGTGTAACACATCCCTCCAGTCACATATAGACTTTAAATAATGCATCAAATGAAGCGAGGGGCAGAAATAATGAAAACCAGCATGAGGAAGCAGCTTACAGAGACTATCAGTATATTATATGCATATCCCAGCCACCACACTTATCTTCATAATAAATAAGAATGTGAGCTTATTCTCTGTATTCTAAATGAAATATGTTTTTTAGCCCCTCGTTTCTCAGAATATTTACATTTCAGGCGTCGTGCAGAAACTTTTCTTCAGTCAAACGAGATTCAGCTCCTGCAGGTGCAGCTGCATGACAAAGTCACAGTCTTTCACTGCAGAGTTCATTCACTTTGGCTTCTTTCCCCAAAGGAGCGACCGAGGGGCTCACACTGACGGTAAGAGAAACGGTCAGTACGCTAATTGGTTGCAGAAAAACCTGGCTTTTCTTTTCAGTATGCTAATGCTCTCGTGGAGTGCAGACGGAGACTCTGTTGCATTGTTGATATTCAATAAATTCATGAAGAAATGCGAGGAGGGGGATTTAGCTTCTAGTTGTGTATTGAATATAAAACACTAAAAGGCCTTAATGCCTCTAACGAGAGGACAGGAAGGTGGGTGGACTATGGCCGAGTATGGGAGTCGAACTCGGGGCCGCCATGTTGAGCTCATTAGTCTCTCAATATGAGACTCGTGATTTAATCCCTGAGCCACAGCATCGCCGCATTCCATGTAGATTTATGGATTTTATTGATGTTAAAGGTCATGATGTTGATCCCCATTTTAAAACCCACACATAGTCTTACAGTGCTGGAAATCAGGGAGAGAGAGTGGGGAAGGACATCCGGGAAAGGATTCGAACCCGGGCCGCCCGCTTTGAGGACTGTAAGCGACTTAGGGCTTCTTCTTCTGCTAAGTTGCTGATGTGGCTGCCTTACTCACTGTATGAACTGAACCTATTTCTCGACCAGCTCTCTCCAAGGAAGCAAAACACGATAGCTGATCCTCTTGCAGGATCTGTCCACATCCCCTGGTTACCCCCGTCCCTCCCTGTCCCCTCTACAGCCCCCCCCTCTACAGTGAGTGATAGAAAAATGGCATGATTTATGGATTATTGAGTTGTAGGTAAGGTCGCCTTTTATTTATTTATTTGAAGAGCCAAGTTCGCTTCTTTTGGGCTTGTTTCCAGTCTCTGAAATTGCAGCTTGCACTCTGACAAAATCAAATGCAAATCTAGCATCGACAGGAAAGTGGAACTGCAGGTTGTAGTAGCTCTTCAGCGACCTCCTTTAACCCAATAGCCGTCAAGTGTTTGGTACGGTGTGCAGTGCAATGATAGACAGCACAGCAGCGTCAAATCATGAATTCTGATGTGCATGTACATCGTGTAGAACAGCAGCCGCTGAAATACAAAATCCAGCGAGAACACATTCAACACATCAGGTACAGATGTCACCTCGCAGAGCGTGCAATCTCTGCGGGCACTTTGACAAAGAACTACTCGCGTCTCAACCTCTCAAGTGTTTGGCCTCCCCCGGCAGGAGCTTTTTGTTAGAAGAGACCTCTAACCTGACGTTGCACCCACCAGCACCTGATGTTACCTGACATGTGGGTGCTCCCTGAGGACTGGACTATTTCTCCGTCACCTGGTGTTACCTCGGCAAAGAGGGAGAAAAATATCAGCCTCGAGGCTCAGAGTGGCAGGGCTTGTATACAGCCGAGTGGGGGCTACAATTCTACCTTGTTTTCCCTGTCACCTCCTCCTCCTCCATCCTTTCTTCCTCTGCCTCCCTCTCTGCCTCCTCCGTCTTTTTATACCATCTTGAAATCCACTGGATTTTCCCAGGTGGAAGGTACAGCACAGAGTAGAGAAGCAGTGGTGACAGCGATGAATAAAGTGGAGAGAGAGTGGGATTTGAAGGATGGGGGAAGGAGAGACGGGAGTGGGGGTAAGGAGAGAGAGACAGAAACTAAAGAAGGGAAAGAAAAGCAACAAAAGGGAGAGGCACAGGCAGACAGGGAGGGAGTGTGCGGGTGCAGGGGATGAGAGAGACGGGTTGTGCTGCATGGCTCAGAAACACGAGCTGCTGCACAGAGAGGAGAAGCATCAAACATGTTCTCTACAGGCAGCAGACGCTTCACACACATGAAGAAGAAACAGACCAACAGAGTGTCTAATAAGCATGGAAAGATAACTCAAACAGAGAGGTGATTACAACATTCCTGTAACGTAATTATGCATGAAAATCCAAACCAACACTGGGGAACTAAGAAAGTGTTGTTGTGCAAATATGTGCTGAGTTTGTGACTGAAGTCTGTGGGTGTCTGATTTACTGAGGCAGCAGTTCATGGAGCAGGACTCTGAGAGGGAGGCAGATCTCATCAGTGACGCTGAGAAGAGGAGTTTCTCCACTGAGCTCCGAGTAGAAATGATAACCTGAGGATCTTTACGATCAACATTTATATTTGTCCAATTATCCTCAGATAATCTGGAACTAATCTAGAACATCATCTAGAGCCGAACATTACCTTCTCGCTAATGTGTGGCACATGACGACTGTGCAATGTGTCTTTGACCTTAAAGTACATTTTATGAATCCTTTTCACTTCACATGTTAGACAAAGTGTTTTATATGGAGCTTTTATTGTGGCAAAACTACAGTACAGTGCAAAACTACAGTACAGTGCTTTGCCCGCTCTGTACAAGATACAAATTTCAAAAACACAAACTACATAATGGACGCTCCGTCGTAGCCTCCTCAGTAAAACTGCACCCACGACATCCAGCTCAGTAATGTCTATCTTGAACTCACTGGGTGCTACAGCGGACTGGCAGCCTAGCCTGTGAGCCTGAGCTCAGGGCAACAAACCCCAATAATGTGTTTGCAGATGGTCAGACACACATTTGCAGATATGTGTACTCATTTGTGGATCTTTGTGGAAATGTCACATGTAAAATGACAGACAATGGAGAGCCCTGCCTCAGTTGTAAGCGATCATTTGTGT